GATCAGCAGCGAGAATGACTTCAGCGATGGCCTGTTGAAAAGCAACGATGAGTTCGGCGAGGACCAGTTCGAGTCGCCGGATGAGCACGCGCCACCCAATCCAGTGCATCGATCGAGCAGCACAAAGAAGCGAAAGATCTACTCCATCAAAGATAAGCTTCAAATGATCGCTTTATACCAGCCGGGAGTCAAAGGTCATGGATATGCAGCGCTCGCTAAACGGTTCATGATTGCAGTCTCCTCGATCCGGGACTGGGTCGCTCAGAAGGTCAAACTGAGGGCCATGGTTAACACGCCCGAGAAGCGCATCCATGTTCGTCGTCGGGGTGATGGTGGCGGACGCAAGACCAAGCTCCACAAGCTCGAAGAGGCTTTGGTGAGCTGGATCGACGGCAAAAACAAGCTCGGCTTACGCGTGTTAGACCAGTATATCCAGGCCAAAGCGCGCAGCTTGCACAACAGCGAGGAGTTGGATCAGAGCCAGGACGAGCTCGCGATTGACTTTGCAGCCTCATCCGAGTGGCTCAGCCGGTTCAAGAGTCGCAACAAGCTCGTTTCGCGCTGTGAGACGTCGTCCCGCGTCCTGCCGGCCGACGCCAGGGCGATTGCCGACGTTTTCCTGCACAAGGTGGCGGATTTGATTCAGAAGCACGGCATCAAAGTCGAGAACGTTCTCAACATGGATCAAGTCCCGCGCTACTTTGAAACCGATGGGTACTCTACGATCATCAAGAAAAGGTCCAAGAACGTTATGCTACGCAAAGGTGGATCCTCCCGCAAGCGCTTCACGGCGACATTCCTCGTATCAATGACCGGGAAGATTTACTGTGCACATCTCCTGTTCAGCAAGCTCAAGGACAAACCGACAGTCGACTCTCGAACCGTTGTCGATGTCAACTCGACGGGCATGTGGTCGGACGACACAATCACCTCTTGGGCCTCAGAGATCCTCAAGCGTCGCCCGCAAACGGCACTTCTTCGCGAACCGACTCTTCTTCTACTCGATGCCTACGGCCCGCATATCAAACTGGTGGAGAACCGCGTGTTGGAGAAGCACAACATCTACACCATCATGGTTCCCAAGTACATGACGACGATCCCGCAGCCGCTCGACGTCGCCATCAACCGCTCTTTTCAGCAGCTCTATGACAAGTGCTACGACAAGTACAGTATCTTGAGAAAGCGATCGACGATCCTCAGATGCAAACGAAGGCGGGGAATGTGAAGGAGCCGACCGCCCTAATCGTGAGCAAGTGGGTGGCTGATTGGGCCGACACGCACGTCGACGCGAATATGATCAAGGAAGCTTTCCAGGTATGCAGTATTTTACCGTCTTCCCAGCTGTTTGACATCGCGGCGCTGCATACGCCTCTGCGCGATCTTCTGTCGGATGGGTACGACGAGACCGAGTGGCACAGGAAGTATGCCAATCTGTTGGCGCCGGAGGCATCTTTGAATGAGTCTGTCTTGGTGGCGCCTACCTACTTTTTCCCACAGGAGTACGACATCCACAACAACATCCCCGCGTCGCTCTGGCAATGCCTCCACAGATTAGATGGCGGACAGCTATCCATGGTCGACTACCAACCCGCCTTTGTGATCGCTATGGGCGATATCGAGGAGCTGAAAGACGTCACAGACGCTGGCATGTTGGAAGATCTCATTAAGAACGAGGAGCCCGACGCTGGCTTATTGCTGTTCACGGCGGCAAGGAAGGCGCATTTAAAGATCGTCGTGATCAACCGAAAAGACATGAGCGAGAATGTGTATTCGACAATATGCAACCGTTCAGCCGCGAGATCACAATCATCGAAATTGAAGGCAGGTATTATCTTCGCCTCCTCTCCCCGTCGCAATCATCGATGTGAAGTCGCGTCCAAAGCCGCCCATCCAATCTTAATTAAACCTCACTGATCGATGGTGACGTACTTTACGACTTCGTGTCATCAACTGAGAAGGGAAAGGAGACATAGCTAACACCTGCCTTTCATTTGGATCAATATGAACTTATTCTGAACGGCGGAAACACTTCTTCGGATCAGCACAACCGTTTCGAGTTGGGAAGACAGCAAAGCCCGTTAACCGTGCGGGCAAATCTCCACCCATTCCTTTAGACCGCACCCTACGGTGTATTCTGGTATGTGGTGTATTCGAATCCACGATGGCAACTTTGCCTCGGGGCGAATTTTGGACCAAACTCGAATACACCGCATAAGCGGTGTGTTCGGTGGAAGACGGTAGCATTCCGATCTGAACCAATATACCCACCTTGCGCATAGTTCCCGCCAATCGCCTCCAGTTTCGCACCCATGACCTTGTCGGCCGACCAATCGCCTGTCTATATTTCTCGGTCGCACGTCGCAACTGCCGATCCCGCTCGCTCAGGCCCCCGCCATGCTGCTGCCGGCTTACCAAACCTCAACCATCCTCTCGCGCCATTGCGGGTCGAGTTGTTGCCCCTGGGGCCACAAACTTGGGTTCTCAAGCTCCTTTGGAGCCCCTGTACCCACTGACCACCCGGTCTGGTAATGGACAAACACTAGCCGAAGGAACTGGACTCATCGGTGCTGAACACCTGTCGAGTTGCTGCCCATAGGGCACTTAAGTGAGTGTTCAAACTTCTCTGGAGCCTCTGGACCCACTGGACAACCCACCTGGCCACCATAACACCTTGTCTGATGAACCGACGCCTAACCTGACCGTTCCCAATCGCGTTGTTGCCCCTAGGGTCACGAAAGTGAGTGGTCATGCCACTTTGGGGTCTAGACCTACTAAGCAAACAATATGGGGATAGCCGTGCTAACCCGCCGCATCAGCGACTACCTCCCCCCTTGGACAAGGCAGAAGTCGATGTCAACTAGCGTCCCTCGTTGTATATGACGCACTCCAACGTTTGCTGTCGCCCGACGGATACCAAGTTCGGTACGTCTATGCAAGCATTCCAAGTTGGCAGCCTCACCGATGTCGACCGTCGTCATGCTGCTACGGTATCCCTTCCATTCAACGTATTGAATGCGTGCAAATTGGCGGTCGGTCGCAACTTGCCCACTCCAAATCATGCTCGAAAGCTTGGCGACAACACACAAACCGGCTACCTGCACTACAACAAAGAGTGTTTGCATGTTCTTCCTGCGCGTGGGCATCTGCTTCAACTGCACTGGCCGGGATATAGTTACCCTACTGGGTGGTCTGATACTCATGATATGCGGACGGCCGTTTCCGATCCGAGAATACTCTGAATACTCGCATCTGCAGTAAACCGACCTCACGCTAGCGTCCGACACTCTGCCTGACGGCATGTGGTCATACTTCGACGCACTCAGGGAATCACCCTTAATGATCACGTCGACGTTAGACAAGAACTCCATTCAATCTCGACACATCACCGTTTATTTTGCCAAACGAAATCTCTCCAAATGCTGATGTTCGCACCCAACGACCCCGTCCGTGAACTTTATTACACGTGCCTGGCTCCAACCCAACTTTGGTAAATCATCGCATCGCGCGTTACAACAAAGGTGTACCCCCTAGACTTCGCACTAAACGTGTGCAGCAACCACAGGCTGACATCAGAGCACCCACACCCACTCCAGACACATCTGCGTACAATTCACTCCCGCGCCTGAAGGTTCGACAACACCTGCTGGCCCGATCGACACTCGGTTGGAATCTGGTGACTCGTCCAGCGACTCAGACGACGTAGACCACGATGACCCGACTTCAGATAATGATGATATGAGACGCATTAGCAGCGGAGACGAATCTGATACGCCCATTCGACCTACCCACGCGACTCATCTTGACGATAACATCTCGCATGCGGCAGTCAGTAAGCTCACGGTCCTTGCTCATCCGCACATCATTGATACCGGCCATGACCGCTTGGTGCATACGTACACAGTAATCCCCGATGACTCGCCCATTTGGTATCGAGCGAACTCTCGCGTCGTTATACGTCCTAGGCATCACCGACTATTCAGCTGTCCCACGCGAAAAGCATCGATGATGACGTGACTGGCCAAGGCGGAACAGTAGCACACTCATTTCCCACCTCATACAACATGTTTGGAGCCTTTCAAGACGTCGTTGACGACTCCGACCCCTTCCCAGCCCCGTACAACATGACTGTAGCTGGAAATGCAAATCTCTACGCCACATACTGCCGCTCGCATGCCAACCTTCAAGCTTACTTGACCATCAACACGGAAGTCGAATCCATGACGATCGATGAACTCATCGACTACTTGGAACAATCTGCTAACTTTCTCCAAGCGGAAGACGACCCTAGCGCTACCCTCTCTATGCTGCAGGCTAGCCCAGGCCACCTCGCTCCCCTTATCGATGTCCGGACACCCACGAACATGACGGTACTGCACGCCAAACTTCCTGGTCATGCTCTCCAACGCTAATTCCAATGCCTCATGTATTCCGACAAGATCATCGCCGGCGTACAAGCACAGTTGAATACCACCAAGCCGCAACCACTTTGGGCACATGTTTGGTCACACGCAGTCGGCCAACTTGACCCAGCACGCTGCATCTTGTCATCCATTGTCCCCAACAACGACAACTACCAATTAGTCCTTGTCAACGCAAGGACTAATATTTCCTCTGATAAGACGCCACCTTGTGTGCATTGACGTCGTCACCCTTGGGCAACTACCTCCTCCAACGCTCCAATGAATCAACTTCAGTAGTACATCAAGCCATATTGCAACTGGCCGCAGCCCATCCTATGGACATCTACATTGTCCCCTGCTACTCCGCCTAATCCGGCCGAGTGGCAACTTCGTGGCGTCTCCATCAACGCGAACGGCATCAATCACTTACACCGATCCCTCTTCACTACTCTGGCCAACAAGTTCTGACTCATCGCTCTACAAGAAACCAAGTTCACCTCGCCTACCAACCTCCACAACGCCATTCATTACTGGCACACCACCGATGCCCAGGGTTGCGAATTTTGGTCGCATCTCGACTCTCAAATGTGCAATGGACACAATTGAGTCGGCTTGCTCATCACGAACGCTTGTCCCATCCAAAACTCAGTCGACGTCTCACGCTCCTTCGTCTCGAACCTCACCCCTTGATAACAGATACCTTGTTGTTCAAGGTACGCTCAACGCTATACAAATGTATATTAACGTCCTCTACGTACCTGCTCAACCACACAAACGGCCCCCTTCTACCAAGCCCTACTACGCGCCTTTCCAACCGAAGCACTTCACATTGGCTGTGTTGATTTCAACACAGCGCTTGGCCGGTTCGAAACGGCCGCAACTACACCCCTGGCGTCTGGCTTGTCGCGCACTCTGCTCATGGGCTGGCAACTTGTCTTGCAGCTGACCGAACCCTGGCACATCCAACATCCGACAACAATGGAGTTCACCAGCCCCCAATCCAACCGCAGCATTGATATGGTACTCATGAGCTCTCGTATCTTCGTCAACAACGTCCGACGCAGACGCCATGCATATGGAATGAAGTGGCGTCACTCCGACCATATCCCTATCATATTCGATATCGCCACCCGCACTTGGTCACCACACCTTGTTGCCCAACCATGGCGTTGTCCGACCTGGCTGCTACAATTACCCCAAGTTCTATAGCACCTGCGCTCAAGCATACAAGACCTTTTGAACAAACTCGCAACACCCTCTATTCCCAACTACAATCCTGGATGCCTCCTCGACGAACACAAGCGCTCTGACGGCATATACCTCCGCGACGCCTTCGCAACGCATCACAACTCCACCCAACGAAAATTGAGTACTCTTCTCGCTGATGCGAGACTTAAAGCAGCCATTTTCCTTCGCAAACCATCACAAGCAACTTAGAAGATATTCGCGGAAGCCCAGGCGCTGTAGGACAAGTACTACGCATCACTTCAAGAATCGCACAGACGCAACAGATTCGACCAAGACCTTCACCAAGATGAATGCTGCTCTAAAGCATTTATCAGGCCGCCCATTGAAACAAGTCTACCAGATCGTTTATCACTCTGGATTAAGCAAGAATATGACGACACGGTGACGAAGTTCCGACGCTTCTGGACTCACATCTTTCGAAGTCCATCGCGCGACATCAACCGTCCCCATCGCCACTTCAAGAGATCCATATAACATTCGATTCTGGCGAAGACCACCCGTCGCCTGACCATCACCCAACGCCGCGCAATGGAGGCACCGCTTACGGCCAATGATTTCTACTGCGCCCTCAAAAGCAAAGCACTAGGACCGGATGGCTTGCTCGTGGAATACTACCTCACGGATCCACACAACTGGGCACGTTGGAGCTGGCACGGTTGCTTCACTACACGCAAGAGGAGGTGGTCCACTACTGCCCGGCGTTGGTCAGACGTCAGGTCTTTCATGGGAATCGCGCCATGCAAATTTTGCCGCTCAAAAACGATCTTCATTCTATTTATTCGGATAATTGATCTGTATCCGTATGATTTTGTCGTGAATTCAACATGAAATCTTGAAAACATTCTGCTTTGATGAAATGAGAGTTTATTTTTCATTGAGTGGGCCAATTAGATTCTCAGGATTGAGCACTTTAACCGACTATTTCTGGATTTTTCAACTTCGAAAAATTGTTGAAAATATTTGCAATTTCCCGTTGTGGCGGGTTTATTTCGGGCTGGAGGTAGTAGCTTCAAGCCGACGTTTGGACATGGAACGTAGTGGCACCAAAAGCGGTGGATGCCAAAATAATTGCACGTCGATCGATGGAGCCCCTGGTCCCGTCCATGCCCAATGGCCCAACTACTACGATAGGAACACTGCCATCGTCAGCTCCCACGTGCCCGTACTCATGTGCGTTTGACCAGTTTGAGTGGTGCGGTACAATACTACCTCCATGCCAAGACGCCGTCTCCCAGGTATCACGCCCTCAAACACACACGCACTAGGATACAATCGCCCGCGTTCGCCACGCAGACTTCGTTGCAATCCTTCTCACCAAAGCCGGACAATGCAGGGGATTTCATTAAAAGTTGCATATGCAATTTCCAAAATAACATCTTTTGAATAAAATCCAGTT